AGTTTTTAAAAATTTTTTAAAAATGAAAGAAAATGCCCCCCCCCAAAAAAAACAAAAACAAAACAACCCTACATTTTACATATATGCAAAAGTAATCAGGTACTTTTAATATTGTTGTAGTGACCTGTTCATTCATTTAATAAATCATACGTACCTAAATCTATCCAATATACAAAGCATGTGTATGAGCTAGAATGTAATTTATAAGAGGCGTATAGTTGTAACTCCCTATCTGAGTGTCTAAAACAGACTACTACATTGAGATTATCTTTTAACAGGAACTAAGGGACTAATGTTCTAAGACTAGTATTCATCTTTTTGCACAAGTGTGTGATTTTGGTAAACCTTTTCCTTCTTCTCCTCCTCCAAGAATAAGACTCAGTATTGAAGTACTCTCTCTTTTCACTTTCTCAATGTGATTAGTGCAGCAACTGACAAAGTCCAAACGGCTGAGTAAAAATACACCAAGAAGTCCAGGCTGGCATGGTGCACATAATGGAAACTAAAGAGCCCACCAAGTATGTATGTATTTTCTCAATAAAAATTTTGTTATAAACACTCAGCAGAGTGAAGATAATCACTACAAACTTCTGGCATATGCAGTAAAATTTTAAATGTCTAATTACTTTAAGACTGAATAAACCAAATGTTTTAATTCACAATAGCTAAGCTACATATTATACATATAAATTCTATACACAAATATATATATAGAGATTTGTAGATATTTAAAATGAGGAGACAGTATTTGGCACTTAAAGATACTTTATATCACAACTCAAATTTTTCTATTTTTTATTGAATTTTTGTGCATTCTATACATCTTAATCCCTATTCCTCCTTCCTTATATAATTCAAATTCTTAAAAAGATCATACATCAAGACTTTTCCGTAACTACTCTACACAAAAATGACTTTTCAAATGAGTTAATAGAAATCCTTAAAATTTTTTTGTGTATTTCATACAGAAATCTTTATATGCCCTTCCCCTTTGGCACCTCCCATAGCCACCCCCACCCCCCACTGGAGTTCATACACTCATTTCTGTTAAGGCCTATCATGTAAAATTAGTGTCCCCAGATGTCCTTCAGCACAAGTTCATCTACTGGGATCTAGTCAGCCTATCTAGAGTCCCTCCCTTTAAGATCAGGTCTTCCTCTCCCTGCAGTAATCAGCTACCAATAATTCTTCACTAAGTTCGGGGCCTGCTATTCATTCCACAGTTCTGTGCTGGGTTTTTGTCTGCTTAAGTTTGCATGGATCTTATGCATGCTGACATCGCTGCTGTCGGTTCCTATGAGAATAGTCCCAGGCGTCTGTAGGACTATTTCCAGACGGTCATGTGCCTCCTCTCTGGCTCTTACAATCTTTCCACCTCCTCTTCCACAATGGTCCCTGAGCCCTGGGTGGGTGGATTTTAATAATAGGAGTCCTGTCCAAAGACCCACATTCTGTAGACTCTTAGTCTCTGCATTTTTGCCACTTGTGATTTTTTTGCATTCATGGCCCTCCTGTTGTATGAGGGGGCTTCACTGATGAGACTAGAAAGATGCATTAGTGTTCTCTTCATCCTTCATCTATGTTTCCTGAGCCTTAGGTATAGAGATTGGATCCTAGATGTGCCACTTAAACTTTGGCAATTCACAATCTGTGTGTGACCAGTTGTGGAACTCTGTAAAATTACCTCTGTCTCCTCTTGTTTTTTGAGACAAGCCTTACTATGTAGCCAAGAATGGACTTGAACTTGCAGTCCACCTGCCTCAGCCTCCTGATTGTGGGAATTACAAGTGTGTGCACTACCATACTCATCTACAATGAATTTTTTCGTTGTAAGCTATAGCTCAAAAATTTTTGAAAAAAAATAAAGCAATTCAAAATAAGGTTTTCTATGACACACTTATATTTATATTTTCTACACAGTAAGAGCTGTGTGTTTGAAGGCTTAAATGTGTAAGTGTAATATGTCTATGTAAATTACAGTAAATGCCTGTCATAAATTTCCCTCTCGGTTTAAGGAGCTTCTCTACAAACATCAATTGATATTACAAATTTATAGTAATGATAATTAATAATTTGAATTAAATAAACCACAAGGTTGGATTAACTGCATACATATTTTGAACCCTCTCACTTTCACTACTGGAGAAATGGATGGGAAATATACTGCTCTATAGCAAGCTCTCAACTTAATATCCTTCTCATGAAGTTATGCAGGAGGTCTACACAGTTCCCAGCATTGAAGCATTTACTACATTTAGACCACAACCATGAAAGGATTGAAACTGGTCCTCAACAAGCAACTACAATTATATATGCTGGCATACATCATGGTCTATCCAAGGGCTATGTCGTTTTCTTATTTGGAACTCACTTTTTCTTAAGGTCAGGTAACATGTTCTTTTCATGTACTCTCTTAAAATTTCAAGAGAGGGGACACAGAGTGAAGCACAACTCTGTGGTAGAGTTCTATTTTCTAGAGCACCATGTCCAACAGAAATAGATAAAATTATTTTGAATATTTTACTCATTAGGTTCAAGTTATTATCAACTCAATATGTAATCAACATAAAAATACTGGTAACTAATCTACCATTTCTAAAATCATTTGTGTTTTTTATAATTCTAGCACATCTAAATTCATACTATCCATATTTCTATGATCAATCACCACATGTGGTTAGTGGCTACTATGTTATAGCGCAGTCCTAGACACTATTCTTCCTGAAATGCAAAAGTAAAGGACTTCACTCTGAGTATGATGTTACTAAAGGTAAATTTACAAGATTTGAGCCACTGTTTATGTTTTTGGAACCACTATGTTTGTTTTCACACAAAGAATGACATCAATATGAGAGTCTAACATGACTTCTGTTGTATTTCTATCAACTATAATGCACACAAACTGTTACACTCCTTTTTAAGAACGGAGCTTTTTGTTTGTCTTTGAGACATGGCCTCCTATAGCCCCAGCTGGCCTGGAACGCCTTGTATAAACCTTTGCCTCCCAAGTGCTGGGATTAAAGGTATGCAATTACCTTTTTGAAACACTGAGTGAACATTCTTTCCTTCTTAGTTTCACTTGGAAAAAAAACCTTTACTAATCAGGCCAGTACGGAAAAGAAGAAAAGCAGAGGCAAGAGACAAACCCAGACACTAAGATATGACCCACTACTTAAAAATGCCAGGTGTGACAGAGCGCATACCTTTAGTCTCAGTACATAGGAGGCAGAGGCAGCAGATCTCTGAGTTCAAGTCCAGTCTGGGCTACATACTGAGTTCCAGGCCAGTCAGGGCTCCACAATGAGACCCAGCAGGATGGCTCAGCAGGTAGTAGCACTTACCACACAAATCTGATGATCCGAGTTCAATACCTGAGACCCACAGTGGAGAAAGAGAACCGACTCAGTACTGTTGTCCTGACTTCCACATGTGCGCCCTGGCACCCATGTCTGCACTCACACACAACACATAAAACAATAACGTCTATGACTTTAAGCCTCAGTACTTAGGTACTGAAAAGGTTTCAACTTGTATTGTGCCAAGGACATGAATTTTTAGTTAAATGAATACGAGTCTGGGTGCCTTTTGTTTCATTATAAAATGAGATAATAAATGTATTTATGTTTTATGTATTATGTAGTTTATGTATTAACTATTACAGTTGGCTAAGACAAAACACCAATGGTTTTTCTATAGACACAGTAATTATGAACATGGTTGTGGGAATGATTTATCCCACAAGTTGGAAAGAGAAGCAAAAGAGAGGAACGAAGGAATTAATATAAAACACAGAGAAAAATAAAAAGGAAGAAGAGATGAGGTGGAGGCAACCAGTTCTTTTCATTATAAAGATGTTTCCAGCATTGGTTCTGTTTTATATGACTTCTTATTTTCAAAGCTTTCTCAAATTTTGCTCTGTAATGCTCTTACAAATACACAAAGGACAAGAAGACAGCTCTGCCAAGCCTGACGACCCAAGTTTAATCCCTGGGACAGAATGGATTCCCTCCAGTCATCTTCTTGTACATGCTCGTTGTGGCACACATGTGTGTCCCTCAAGCAATCCAAAAAAAACTAAATAATATTTATATAACAATCTCCCTCTCATTTTTAGGGACTTTGTGACAAGGGAAAGAACCTTTGTTTGCTAACCCTTTATTTTTAGGTTATACAAGCAAATAATTTATATAAAATTCAACAAATTTTACGCATGTGGTACACATATATACATGCAGGCAAAACACCCATACACAAAAAATAAAAATAAATGAATCTTTAGAAAATAATCAAAATATAATGTCTTTGTTTTCATTTTGGACACACTAATTCTTGATTTCAAAACCATCTGTCATGCAGGATTACTACTACAGTGAAGATAATTTTAAATATTTTTATTTACTATTTTTATTTTATGTGTATGAGTGCATTGCCTACACGTAGGCAGGTGCACCTGTGTCGTGCAATGCCTGTGGATGTCAGAAGAGGATTCTGGAGTCCCCTGGAACTGGAGTTACAGTCTGTTGTTAGACACCACGTAGGTGCTGGAACCCAACTCAGGTCCTCTGCGAGAGCAACCAGTTCTCTCAACTTCTGAGTCATCTCTCCAGCCCCCATGGTGAAGATAATTTTAAACAAGCAACTCAAATGTAGAATGTAAAGCTTTCTTTATTTACTTCTTTTTGGTGCTGGTGGAAATAAAACCATAGGCTTCCTGTATGCCAGTCAATCACTTTACTTTTGGGCCTTACATTCATAGCCCCTAAAATTTAAATCCTTATACACAATGTAACTAGAGAAGCAAAGTAGCACCAATGGAAACCAAGTTAATGAAAGTACCTAATGTTTTTTGTTTTGTTTTGTTTTTTAACACACTGAAGAAAGTATCTTGAAAGCTTAAAAGAAAAAAAAGTATATTAAGTGGATCACAGATACACAGAGGAATACTCATTTTAAGAGCAGTTATAAGTTAGTGATGTTTGTGGCTCATGATGGGGACTTACCAAGTTCTGCTAAATTACCAAATGCAACAAGACACATTTCTGTAAGAGCTGCATTGTGGTAGTGGATGCCCAGTAATTTTACTAAGGTGGGGATAACACCCATATTGATAAGCTGAGCTTGAAGAGAATCTGTAAAAAAGAAAAAGAAAAAAGAAAGAAAAAAGGAAGTATTCATATTATCAAATGAACATTAGCAAGAAAACATGTTATTTTCTGTAATGTAAGTTCAATTCTCTTTGAATTGCAATGAAGGAAAAAGAAGTTCATTCGACTGACTTGAACATTTAAATCACATTAGTTCAGAAGAGCTGAGTTTTGAATTGTTTTTCAATGATTAGCAGAAATTTAGAAATGAAATAATTTAAAAATATATTAAACCAATAATTGCTTTTTAAAAAATGGGATCTTATACCTTTAATGATCAGGGTTTTAAGATGCATAAATAAACACACTGTTAATTTTTAAATCAAAAGTTTAGAAACATCTGCGCAAAGGAACTTACAGAATATACGGAAAGGCTAAGAAAAACAGTAATTTTAGAAAAATCAAGAAAGAAAAGAAGACTCTTAGAATGTTTACAGTTCCTTCATCATCAGGCTAAAAACCCGAAGCATAAAGTGACTGGCTCTGAACAACTGCAAGCAGATCACTCTTTGATGGTCGCTAGGAAGGAATGTAGTTTTAACAAGGAAAAGGGGTTACCTAAAATACCATGTTCTAAGAGTTTTACTTAGTGACAGATCATCTCAGTAAAAGATGATGTGAGAGGTGAAGACAGTGAGGTCAGCGTGACCTTGGCATTCTTGTCTTTCATTCCTACCTAACTGCTTAGTGTTAAACAGGACTTGTGTTTCTATGTTTCTTCACAGAATAATAAAATACCTGTAGCAAGGTTGAAGGTGAATTAACCCAAAAGAAAACCAGAAGAATTACCTCCTTGAATAAGCTAAGAGGAATGACATAACACTCACACTTTATACAAAACACTACTGTCAATAACCAATTCATCTGAAGATACAGGAATGTTCTTAAAATTATATGCTATTTAAAAGCTAATAATTTTCTCCAAATTCTTATAGGTTACCTATTTGGGATAAAAGATAAAACTCTTTCTTACAAAACAACCTTCCCTCACAGCACAAATCCCCTGACAGGGTTTGCTATTGATCCCTTTATTACTCTTCACAGTTCTTAACCTGTGGATGAGGATGTGAATGGGTGATTATGAGAAAAGAACGCAACAGAAGGGTTGAGAGCGAGCTCAGGTGCCAGTTGGTTACTTGCCTAGTGGCCTTTATTGTTAGTTCTTCATGGCTTTTAGAATGAGATATGAAGAGACAGTCAAGAGAGGCTCATAACTGCCCCTGAAAACTGAATGGGTAATTATGGATAATTATCTGGTTTGGTTGTTTGGGTTCATCTCTATCACAAAGGGTCCTATTACCAAAACAAGAACAGAAGACAAACCTGAGAAAAAGGGAAGGTAACATTTATAGTTCAAATAGTCTAATGAAAGCATCTGAAATTTTCAATAGAATTAGTTTATTCTAAATGAAGATAAAGTATATTCAATTAAATGATTTGCTTTTAACTTTTGATGTAAAAATTTTTCTGAATGTACAATGCAGCAGTTAAATGAATGTTTCTCCATACTTCCAGGCAAAACATTTATGTTATACAATAGTGTTGTATCTTATATGGGCAAAATACTTGAATTGTAATTGCAATATATAATTATGCAGCAAAGACCTTTCCAAGTTAGGAATTATTTTGGTTACTTACCAATACAGTTCTTTATTAATGGATCACCTCAGCATATCTTTGTTCTTTAACAGTTAATATTTATTCATTTTGACTGACTCATCAAATATTGCAGAGCTGCTGAATACTAAATTTCAGGTACGTAAGCGTGAGCACTAGCGCATGCATTGAGTGTGAGTCAAACTCTGCTCTACATCTGCATATATGTAAGCATCACACACCCCCTCAGTACTGTTGGTATGAATTTTATAAAAATCCAACAGTGCAGGGACACCAGAGGAATAACACAGTTTATGAAGGAGGTAAGAGGAGAATGCCATGTAGAAGACAATGCTCTGCATGTTCTCTGAACTTGGCATCTCTAACACTTTGTGGACTGCTTTAAAAATGATATGGATTTTGGTCCCAGGGTAAGGAAGAGCAAAAAGTTAAGAAATACAGTAGAGCTTAACAAAGGCTTTGGAGTACAAATTGAACCAGTAACATCTGAAATAACAGCCGATCAGTACAAAGAATAGCACAGCCAAACGGCAAATGCTGTGAATTGCCATAATTTATGAAAAGTCATGTTGCTTTGTAAAAACGTGTTTTGAAACTACTCAGGAGCCAAATTAATTATATACTAACATATAACACACATACCACACACAAGAGAAAAAATATACACTATTCCAATCGGACAAATTCGTTTTAGACCAATTGGGTGCTTTCTTTTATTTTTTTAATATACTTCTTTGATGCTAACTAAAAACAATAACCACACTCAAATAATTTTAGAATTTTTTCATACTGTAAATAAATTCTCCTTGAATAATGAAGACCAAGAGGAAAAGAAAAGAAAAAGACAAGAAAACAAAACAAAACCTGAACTAATTTTACATGAGCTGGTACAAATTTTTATTTTATGGATAAAGAGGCATATTAGATTACTTTTCTCTAAGTGTATTCCTGAAACTCTTTCAGGAAAAAAAAAATCACAAAGGAAAATTTTGTTTTGCAAAACTACCAGGATTGTATTGGCCAGAGTATGTTGACATGGCACTGATGGCATAAAAAGGGTGACAGGTAAAAATGCTAGTACCTGAGCTGAGTCCAGACAGTGACATACTGTGTAAATAACTGTTGTATTCTTTGTGGCAAATTCACAATAAAGCACTATTTTTTCTCATCAACTTTATTTTTTAAAAATATATTTTTGTAAAATGTTGCCTACATTAATGCATACTGGGCTTAACATTATTTTAAAATGCAGTGTGAAATATTTAAGTTTTTATTACTTTAAATACTAGTGATAATCTATATACACAATCAAAAAAATTTTGAGAGTTTTGGTATATTTAGGTGTTTAAAAAGGGTTCAGAGATCAAAACTCTAAGAATCATCATCAAATGATGACCTACCTTTATAAGCAATGGGTGTGGGGGAGAAAAATATGGAAAAGATATTCTGAAGTTTAAAGACATACTTGGCAGATGTGACAACAGGAATAAAATAAAAATAGAAAGCAAAATCATAGCTTTTCGTCTTAGATATTTTCAAAGAGGTAAGCATCTTAATTTCTCATCTTGTTTATCTGAACAGAAATTCTATTTAAGCCTATGAAAATATTACCAATCGTAGTCTTTCAGTTATAACTAATTATGTATGTTACCATTAAATACATTAAATAAGTTTTTTCTTCAGTAGGGGGTGTATTTATATAGGATACACTGGTATTATTAATATGATTTTTTTTAATTGTCCAAAGAAAGCTTGTGAATGTTCTTCAACAGATAACAGCAGGCATCCACGCCATCATGGATCTAATCAAAAGCAAGACTTTCAAATTAAAGACTAACAGGAAGAAATTCTTAGAACTACAAGTAGTTCAACACACTGGAGAGTACGTGATACAAGGGCAAGACTATGACTTTTGCATCTCTTAACAAACACCAGCAGCTCCCCACGAATGTTTATCAGAGGCTCAACAAACAAAGAAGTTCACAAAAATGCAACCCAGGCACATACATAGCAAACATTTATGTGTGAAAGACAAATCTTTAGACAACACAATGTCATAAACATCTGAAGACTTCTTATAACTGCTCCTGACACACATCACAGACAAATACTAACCAAAATACAAATTTACAAAATTACATTCTATCAAGATGACACAGGCCCTACACGATCTATGGGCAGGAAGAGGAAGAAAGGCACTGAGGGGGTGCAATACAGATGCATATACAAAGAGATATAAGGCAATCAACGCATGCGCTGGTGTGAACACTTACCTACCTACATTTGAATTTCAAGGGTTCCAAGCTCTTCAGGTCACACTCATGGAAACTCCAAAGAATGGAGATCTGGAGAGAAGATCTCAAGTTGAGGAACCTCTTTCCCCCTGAGTTTTAAGTTTAATGTTTAAAACATTGGTATAGACTATAGGTGCACAAAAGTATGCTGAAAATACCAATAACTTGGTAATATTTATCAATTATTAAAACAGTTCAGGTTTATAACACATTTAGCTTAGTCTTAAGGCTTTTACAGACAATGCTATGAGATTATTAACCTTATTGGTAAATAAGACTTAAGGATGAAACTGTATTGAAAGGAAACACACAATTTGAAAAACAGTCAACACAGTAGATATGCATATGTATATGTGTATATGGTATAACTATATGTACGGTATTGCTACATACAGGGTTCCATTAAAACCAGTCTGGTATGAGCTGTACATAGCTGGGACAGTGAAAACAAAACAGCAGAAACTTTCTAAAACAAACTGGTTAAAAACCATGTGAGCGTAAGAGACTGAAGAAAACTATCACCGACTTAATGGAATACCTGTATTCCCTACACCAGGATATGAAGATTAAAAATTAGAAATGACTTCACAGTGATGTAGCATTTAAGACTTTAAGCCAATTTTTAACTCTGTAATACTGAAAAGAAAGCTGATATAAATAGTTACTCAGAGGCGGATTAATGTTAACTGGACACAGAAACATTCAGGTACAAGACTTCCCTTCAGAAGATTATTATTCAGTACCCCTCTGTTGATTATCATGAAGAAGTTTTATTCTGAATCTAGTGCTGACAGTATAAAACCACACTGAACATATGTTGAAAATCAACTTCTAATCCATTATTTTAAAAGTTTTCTTACACAAAACAAGGATGTGTTTCATATCAAGAATATTCCTTTACTTCCCAGGTTATACATTTCAATGACACATAGGAATTTCAGAAAGAAATGAAAAAAAAAATCAAGATGTATTACTCTGGAGAACAGTTAATAAGTAGGTTAAGAGAATTCAGTAAAATTCTTTCTGCGTTTTGAAAATAAAATAGTCTCAACACAGCAGCATCTCTTTTGTGAA